ATATATACAGCTTTGAAGATACAGAGTGCCTGCAGTAGAACACATCTACTTGTTATCTTGTTAAGAGATAACGATCATATGCCTAACTCTCATGTTGAGTAGTTTCTCTAGTCCCAGACTTTGCGTACATTATCTCATTTAATGCACACTTGAACCCTGAGAGGTGGCTATTGTCAGGCATTGTCTCTATCCCCATTTTATTTTATTTTATTTATTTATTTATTTTTGGTACTGGGGATTGAACTCAGGTCCTTGCGCTTGGGAGGCAGGCAGCAGAACCACTGACCTATATCCCTGGCCTTCTATCCCCATTTTGTAGCTATAGAAACTGGAGCTTAGAGAAGTAAATGCCAAAAGGATACATAGTTATCCAGTGACTGGTTAACCTGGTTTTTTAACTCCAGATGCTGTCTTGTAACAGCTGTGCTGTACTGCCATATCAGGAGGCCCTGCTACTTTTATTTCAAAGCAATCTGTTTTTTCCCCAACTTTTTCATGAAATTAGTTGAAGAGATTGTCTTGAAAAGAAAAGACTCTGGTCTGGACAGTTAGTTCAGTGAAGAACAAATGGTTCTCATGTGTGAAGCCCTAGGTTCAGTCTCCAGCACCCAAGAAAACAAACAAGTCCTATCATAGAAAGAGCAGACTTGGCTGGATGTGGTAGCACACACCTGTAACCCCAGCACTGTGGGAGGCTGAAGCAGGAGGATCTCAAATTCAAGCCCAGACTGGGCATCTTAGAGACTTCGCAAGACCATGTCTTAAAATAAAACAGGACTGAGGATTTAACTCAGAACAGAGATCCTAGGTTCAGTCCCTAGTACTAAAGAAATAAAAGCAGAGTCATTTATCTTAACTTTGCAGCAGTTCCAGGTTGAAGCTTAGAGGAGAGCTTTTTAAATTCAAAGCAAAGGATGGCTCCCTAATGCCCAAGAGAAGGGGTCAAGGTGTTAAGTAGTGAACTTTCCGAGCTAGGCATGTTGGTACAAGTTTGTACTCCCAGCACTGTGGAAGGCCGAGGCAGGAAGGTGGCAAGTTCACTCCCAGCCTGGGCAATTTAGTGACTTAGGGAGACCTTGTCTCAAAAATAAATAAAAGGGGTCCAGGGATTTAGCTCAGTGGCACCACGCCTGCCTCACAAGCGCAAGGTCTTGAGTTTGATCCCGATACTGAAAAATAAATAAATAAATAAATAAATAAATAAATAAATTTTTAAAAGGGGCTGGGGAGGTAGCTCAATTCAAAGTTCCTGGATTTAATACCTAGTACTGCCAAAAAAAAAAAAAAAAAAAAAA